TTTTTATTTATTTATTTATTTAATTACAGTGAACAGACGCGAGTGTTGCTAACAAGTGCAGCCTATGTGCATCTCAAACATGCCGAGGTTTCTAAGTACACACGAAACCTTTCTCCTGCAAGTCGAGCTATTTTGCTCTCAGGGCCTACAGGTTTGTACGATTATTGCGTACATATTATTATTTTCTGTTATAATGTATATCTACAAATTCCCCTCTCATTTTTTTTTTCTTTGAAGAACTTTACCAACAAATGCTTGCCAAGGCTTTAGCACATTACTTTGAAGCCAAGTTATTGCTGTTGGATGTAACAGACTTTTCACTGAAGGTATATACTTGATTTTCTTTTCCTTTTCAACTTTTTCCTTGTTCTATTTTTTATATTAGTATTTCTGATCATTGGGTTTCTGTTTTTACAGATTCAAAGCAAATACGGTGGTGCCAACAAAGCATCTGTAAGCATTCTCTAATTTTTTATTTGTTTTTGGCTAGTTTTTCTTTTCTTGAGATGAATGGGACATCTTATTATTCGAGCTCTTAGATGTTTCATTAGAATGTATTCCCTAGATTTGATTATGAAGTTATAGAGATAAAGGTGAATTTATTGTTACAAGCCATGACTTCCTTGATTCAACTTTTAGAAAATGAATTTGCTTTTAACATTCAATCTCGTAGGCTTTTACGAGATCCACTTCGGAGTCAACGCTAGAGCGGCTGTCAGGCTTGTTTGGGGCTTTTTCTGTTCTTCAACAAAAGGAGGAACCCATAGGTATGGTTTTTTCTTTTAGAATTATCATCACCTATTAGATAATTCTGCTCTTTGGAGTTCTTTTTCTAGTTGGTTTTTGTGTCTATCAAGTACAACAGAACTTCGATGTAGTTCTGTTTGCGGGCCACATGAATCTTCCAATTGAAGAATCTTTCTTCTTCATTCTTATTAGTTAGGAGTGTTTCCATTGCACACAGCACACATACATATACATGAACAAAAAAATATATATAAATGTTTACATGTCTATAGGAGTAAAATTGTATGTGTTGTTCATCCTTGGTCAAACCCTGACCGAGAAAATCCTGTTGCAGGCACATTAAGGCGTCAAAGTAGCGGAGTGGATATAAAATCGAGGTATTGAAAGAGAGACACTGTTCATTAATCACAACAAAAATGTAGTCCACTCTTCGTTTGTTCCATATAATTATACTTTGGCTATAATCATTGTCCTGTAATTGCAGGGGAGAAGGTAGTAGTGCTCCTCCAAAGCTCAGGAGAAATGCCTCGGCCTCGGCTAATATCAGTAACCTTGCCTATCAGTCCACTTCAATCGCAGGTTCTTTCCCACACTTTTCTCTTTACCTCAAGAAGATGCTGGCTGTTTGTCTCTATTTTTAACTGTTTATGTTTTAGACATCATGTTCTAGCTGTGATGAAAATATGTTTTTCCTTTAGAAATGGTATTTTGTTATTGATTCAATTTTGGGAATGCTGTAAATGGGATAAAACTTTTCTCAAGGTTGAATCTTGGTGATAATTTGTTTTATTTTATATTTTAATCGAGTCTTTTTTTTTTTTT